GCTAAAAAAGAGAAATGATGCACGTGACTAATTTCCATGTAAAGTAGAAAGAAACTTCTGAATTATGTCAGGAATCTTGAGAGTTGGTATTAAAAATACAACTCACACGAAGAACGTACACAAAAAACGTTCTAATTGAAGCTCAAACGATGTTTATGCTACATTAACTGGCTGAAAGAGATAACAGAATCAACACGCTCATTAGTCACTATATTCCGTAGTCCCAATAAAGTAAATAATGGTTGAAGGATAGATAGATAGACTGAAGGTAGATAGATGACTAAACGCTAGTTACGGAAATAAATATAAAATTATAAAAAATTATATTTTTATCCCCGCAAAAATTAAAATAATTTTAACAGCTACATGCACACGCGCGCGCGCGCACACACATACATACACACACACACACACACATATATATATTATTATTATTATTATTATATAATATTAATGCTCTGTAGATTATAATGTAATATTATTATTATGTAATATATTATAATATATTATTATATTATATAATTATATATTATTATATAATATAATATATTATATAATTATATATTATTATATAATATATATTATTATATTATTATTATTATTATATTATTAATTTTATTATTATTATTATTATTATATAATGTTTATACTCAGTAGATTATAATATAATATTTATGCTCTGTAGATTTGCATCGAGTACTGTTTTATAAAAAAAAAATTAATATGAAAACCAGATTATATATCTTACTGTTCTTTCTCTTTATTATAATATATATATATATATATATATATATATATATATATATATATATATATATCTTACATTCGGACTTTCATACCTTCTGCATTCGTCAGGTCCAATTTTTTGTGTTAACAGCGCTTTTTTTAATATTTCTGGTTATCGCGAGGTATTTTATTGTTGAGGTAGATCATCATTGTTGTTAAGATATTTGTAGTTTAATTTTGAATTTGAATTTAAGTACAGATTAACATTTATGAGTAAAAATAATGTTGGCAATAAGAATTATGAATTCTAATTTGAAGAGACGCTGTTGTTATCAAAAGTTTGGAAATTAAGGGAGGCAACTATTTTTCCATAAAAATCAATAAATTAATTAATACTATTGATACACTAAATAAAAGTAGTGTTATCAATAATAATAAAGTATGCCGTGATAAAATAAAAGTAAAGTACTAATAAAAATGATACATATCAATGAAAATAAAATAAAATATAAAATAAAAGCTATATAAAAAAGAACATATAAATATGTAAATAAATAGAGCAAATAGATAAATAAATAAATGAAAATGAAAATAAGTAAATAAATAAGCATGTTACTAATAGTAAAACTAATGGTAAGAGAAAAAGACAAAATAATATTAATGGTTAACCGGTAATAATAAGATAATAGAAATAATGGATTAGCACAAAAGTTAATGCTTTACAGTCTAATATTAACAATAGTTGTATAGTAAAGGTAACAAAAAAGTAAAAATATTAATAAAAATAAATAATATCAATACTAGTATATGTGGTCCCCGAGTCCGGCCAGACTATATATTAATGTTTGTCAACGTCAGTTATTGGATATTAATTATTGGGTAGAAATTTGGATGTAGGTAGGCAGGTCCTCATTAATTCACTTCTTTTGCTTAAAAGATTAGGATTGTTTATATTTTTCAAGATTATTAATTTATCAGAAAGACATAGGTTGAATTTGCTGCCTTTCCTGCTGAAGGGTTTAACTTTCGTTACTGATTCACAGGTTTTTATTCTCGCTTTTTAGTTTCCAGAAAAACTTAGAGGGGACAGTGCTGTTACTATATTTGATATTGCCTAATGTCATTTGGTGGTGGTAGTAGCACGATTTCAAATGGATTTCCGTAGAGCCCACATAAAACTTGACCTCGTCATCATATTTGATTTCAGCTTTATAAACTAACGATTTAGACTTACATTTGCCGTTTCATGGGCAGGGTTTCTTTTTCTGCAGTTGCAATTATTAGTTGCGGGCATGTGGTTGCTTTACAGGTTGTTGAAGTTTCTGTTTAGAATGGAATAGCTGTGGTATACTATATACGATGTTTTTAGCACAACTGTAGATAATTTTGACATCTTCTCGCTTTCCTACCTTCTGTAGGAGTTCTTTTCGTTTCTTTTCTGTTTTTGCTATCAACACTATGTCATCGGCATATCTTTATGACCGTATAGAGTGAACATAAAAGAAAAAATACACAAACTATGTCAACAGTTTCTCAGCAATATTATAATGGATAATGTTAACGGCTTTTATTTTAATCAGTTTAAATGTAGGCCCCTTCAAATTTGATTATAGTTTCAAGTTCATGGTCAAGACGTTTTTGAATGCTGCGTATCACAATCAAAATGCTTTAATCCAATAGGCTGTCCGACCGATTTTTAGAGACATTGGTTGTTTTGTTTGTTTAACAGCATATCAACACCTGATGAGTCATTTAATATTGAAATTTAATTTTCTTGAGAGCTTGGAGGTAATAAAAATATATGTTATTTTGCTTTCACAATTGAATAAATGGGAGATACCCAGACCTTGTGCATATTCATGCTTGTGTGGACATGATTATTAGATGCGGTGATATGTGTATTTTATGTTAAAGTTATATTACGGAATAGTTTAAGAAATGGTAGGATATTATGTGGCTATATGCCGTGGAAGTTCTTTCCTGTTAGTTGTTTGGTTGTATTTGAAACGGATTTAGGTGAAGTCTATAGTTTATTAGTATGTACGTATTGTTGGTAATTTTTATACAAAAATGTATTGGTCTATATTTCTGAGATGAAGTATTGTAATTATTTACATTTTCCTCATATTTTTATCATATTCACTACGTTTATGCCGTTGTACGCTACGGCCTTCTGTTGTCTCAGTTATCTCTCTTTAACTCAATTCTCCTCAAAGATATACGGCGCAGTGGATAAAAGCGTTTGTTGGATCCAGTGACTTAATCCAAAGAGTTGCGAGTTCAATACTTGGCCACTGCAGTGGTGAACAAAAACTTGGCGAGTTGAATTAGAGGGAGATAACCGAGCCCTCTGGAAGGGGCATGGCACGTGGAACTAGAACAACCTACTCCGGTGGACGAAATAAATGGTTCATTTCGAAATTCCAAACCCCCGAAGAAGGCCGGGGCGTACAAAGGCCGAAACGTCGGGAATATGGCAATAAAGATGAGGACAACAGTTTGAAAAATATAAATAATTACAATAGCTCATCTCAGAAATATAAACATATCCTGAAGAAGGCCGGAGCGTACAACGGTCGAAACGTCGTGAATGTGGCAATAAAGATGAGGACAACAGTCCGAACAATGTAAATAATGTAAATAAAAATGCATTGCTGGCATGCAAAAAAGGAGGAAGCTTCTACTTAACATCAGGAAGATGTAGATGAAATTTCTGGGATACGTAATGAGAAAGAAGGGCTTGGAGAATCTGATACTCACCGGTCGAATAGAGGGTAAGAGAGACAAGGGAAAACAACGCATGAAATGCCTAGCGGACTTAAGCAAGTGGATGATAGAACAGCGCCTGCGGGAAGTAGTAAAGTGACAAAATTTATTGAGAGCTTACAAGGGATAGGGGGGAAGTGGAGAGCCCTGATCGCCTACGTCCTCACGGCACATAAAAAAGAAAAGATGAGAGATTGTCTTAATCAAATACGTTTTTATCCCTAGATTTTTCCCCTTATTTATAAATACAAATTTATTTTGCACTTTGATTGCATAAACCTGCAATGAATTTATAATTTATAAATTGCCAACCCGAAATGAATTTTTAATTTATTACAAAGAATTTATTAATACAGTAATTTTTATTAAAATAGGGATAGATAGTGAAATTATTTACTTAGTATATTACTTATATACATTATCAATATTATCATCAGTCCTATGTACGGACTTTGTCGGAGGGTCGCTGTACGGTTGAACACCTGAACAGTTCCTTGTACATACCTGGGTTGAAAAATGGAGAGAGGCCCATTCATTTGTAGTGAGTCTTTAGGTAAGTAGATCTATTGAAGCCCATTCTTCTCCAGGTCAAACAGCAGCCGATGACCTCCAGAGTAAATGCTCACCTTGGTTACGAACACGTCCCTGTTGATTCTATCAGGGGAAACCTCCACCCTGGCGGTTAACTTGGGCCTGTGAAGACCTCTCCCTAGCAATGCCAAATCATCAAGTCGCTGGCTACGTATATCGCTATGGAGCCCAGTCTTACCCATAGTGTCATGAGTCGTTGAACCTACAAGAAGTTTCATTCACCTTTTTCTCGGTCTTGCCTTTCATCCTGCTTTGTGTCTTGTCACTTACCTCAACTTAAAAGCCTGGTTGTGGAATTTTTTTACTCGGTGATGACCCGACCCAACCATGCAGCAAGTAGTGTTACATAGTACCTTCTTCTTCTATATCCCTACAGATCGTAGGCGATGATGGCTCTCCACAATTTCCTGTCCTTTGTAGCTCTTAATAAATTTTGTCTTTTTATCATCTCTCCCAAACATTGTTCTGCCATCCATTTACTCAAGCTCACCAGGAAGGTTATGCAGTTATCCTCTGCCCGTCTTGACTTCAATCGGTCCTGTGAGTATCAAATTTTCCAAGCCCTCTTTCCTCATTATGCGTCCTAGAAATTTCGTTTCCTTTTTATTTCCATTTTCTTTGAAACTTTTTGTTTGGTTGTTGTTTTTGTTTAGCGGCATATCAACACCTCTATGGGTTATTTAATGCCGAAATCTAAATATTTTTTGTGCACAATTTTATTCTATTTTTGCTGATAATAATGGTTTAATGATATAAGCCTTACTAATTAACCCATACTTGGTGGAAAGGTGGATTCATGCCTTTCCCAAGCGTATTTGAGCATAAATGAATATAACGAACCCGATTGGAATTGAAACTCAGCTCTCCGATTAACAATTCCGAGTCATCATCCGTTACACCACCTACGCATCCAAGTTTCCAGCCCCTAGTATTCCCAAACGGTCACCCATCTAGGTACTGACCAGGCTCGACGTTGCTTAACTTCTGTGATCATACAGGAACTGGTGTTTCCAAGTGATGTGTGCCGTAAGCCATGCATGTCATTCAGAATAAAGTCTTGATTTGCTTTGGCTATTTACGAATATCGTTTGAGTTTTCAGCTTGATCTTTTGATTTTGTAGCAATGGGTAAAACTATCTCCGCCATAGTCTATCCTATGTTATAACTGATCCATTCCCCAAGCTATTTAAAGTGCTTAGTATTTCAGTCAGTCAGTTATGTGCCATGCTTGATTCAAGTTTAGGCGATCATGTATCTTTCGATACATGACTGATGAGGCAGATTTTTCCTGCAGTAGGTTGCCATTTCTTTCTGTGGTAGACCAGTTGCCATCCAATGCTATAGAACCCGGTCTGCCCTGTTATTTACCCATAGCTGCGGGGAGAAGAAAAGTATCCATACTTTTCCCAAGGGTATTAACACGTAAGTGAATTTAATGGATTCGATTGGAATGTCGAACTTGGCTCTCCGATTCCACAATCCGAGTCGCTATTCATTACTCCACTGAATTCAGGATTTGGGTTTTTTTCATAAAAATGCTAACATTTTATCACGAAAAACAAATCCATGACCTTTCAACGACGATGCCACAATGCTTATATGTTGTATATAAAGCAAATAACTACTAAAATGCTTAAACCTATTGAACTGCTTTATGACAATTTTATTAGTCCCGTTTTGGTATGATTTCTATGTTCACACTATTCGAGTCTTCTTTCTTTCTCTCTTTCTCTCTCTCTCTCTCTCTCTCTCTCTCTCTCTCTCTCTATATATATATATATATATATATATATATATATATATATATATATATAATCTTATGTTCTAATCCAATAATATTTTATTACTTTAGTGTTTTCATGGATACCTACATTTGAATAAACACTCCATTTATTTTAAACAGTATTTTATTTTGTCTACCAAAAAGTTGTGCGCTCTGGGGATTCAGGTTCAAATCCTGCCAAAGGGTGCACATGTACCGGTCAGTAGACTAAATAAATTACTATTTAAAATAAACATGCTGAATGAAGAGACATGAAAATGAGACTAACCTCAGTTCTCGGCATAAGAGGGTTCGTTTGTGTCTGGCGTGTAGGGCAGTAATTGGTCCGAAGAAAGAAACACCACCATTACGGTGAGTCGGACTTATGGAAACGCGATCTCGTAGCCGCGAAGATTGGCGAGAGGAGAACTTGGGCGTATGCAAATTGGTTGGTGTTCGCTGGGATAAATGTGACGGCGGGAGACCACTCGAGTGAGTTGTGTGTAGCGAACTACGAGGCGGTATTGGAACATTTGAGTGCAAAGATCTGTGGAGTTGTTGTAGCTGGATTGTAGCTGTCGTTAAGCTGAGGAGTGTTTCCGGAAGTAGGCGGTGCCGGGCCAACCCGTTCCCGTCCTATTGTTTGGACCTAATTTTACGAGACCAACCCGTTCCCTTCCTATTGTTTGGACCGAATTTTGCGACAAGAAATTACTTTCAAATCATGACATGAATTGTTAGTTTAATATTTTCATTGAGAAAATGATGTTATTCTTCCTGGGAAATTGCTTTCTGCTATCAATTTTACTTCTGAATAAGAAAAACTTAGTAAAATGCATCAGTGAAAGAATGAAAAACAAATCAAAACTTTTTGTTGATTATAAAAGACCTTTCTGTAAACATTGGCTTCAACACCGTTTTTTTCCAACACTGAAACAAAGAATCATGCATTTTCTGCAATGATGCCTAGACAAGGTAGAAAGAATGTCACATGAAACCTGCCATTAGTGCTATCAATTATGTAGCTATTGCAGTAAGATGACTACAACAATGACACTTAGCCATTCCTTTGCACTGGTGGGAATCTGAGTCTATCCATGAACTGAGTCACCTAATTACCGTGTCTTCTTACTATGCAACAAGAGATGGTAACTGTAGATGAATTCAAGGAATTCTCCTGTTAATTAGACTGGCACTAACTGCAGTTAGTTGGGACATGTTTGGGAAATTCCTTTGAGGATGGAATACTTGTATCTCCTGTTGTAGGAAATGGAGGCAAGGAAGGTGATGAAAAATGTGTACTTATTTTTTTTCTAGAAAAATTACTCTCAATAATGCAAAATATTCTAGGTCAACCCAAGGACATACTTTGAAAACCGCATCACGTGATGCCAGGAGTGAGATAGGCAAAGGTCAATGCCAAAAGAAAATGTAAATATTTTTTTTTACTGATTATCAATTCTTGATGTGGATATAATTTGATTTTACTCCAAATCGATTAGGAATATTTACAAGTATAGTATAGTAAAAAAAGAAAATTAAAAATTTATGTCTTTTTCAGGACGTTGGCGATTATGACTCTCCACAACATCCTGTCTTTGTAGCTCTTAATAAAATTTTGCCTCAGTATCTGTCTATATTTCTGAGATGAGGTATTTCTGAGATTACAAAAAAATAAAATTTTCACTATTTACATTATTCGGACTATTGTCCTCATCTTTGTTGCCATATTTATCACAACGTTTCAGCCGGAGCGTAGAGCAGCCGAAACGTTGTGATAAATATGACAACAAAGATGAGGACAATAATCCGAATAATGTAAATAGTGAAAATTTTGCCTTTTTGTAATCTCTCCCAAAACTTGTTCCATCATCAATTTATTCAATCTCGCTATGTAGTTATTTTCCTCTGACCCTCTTGCCTTCAATCTGTCCTGTGAGTAACAGATTTTCCAAACTAGCTCTCATACAAATCATATAAATATACCCTGAAAATGTTATCAACATCGGTTGCTTAATACCAATTTTATTAAGAAAACATTGACTAATATGAAATTTAATATCCTCTATAGTAAACATCTATAATGCATGCACGCATGGTGTGTACGTGTGTACATGCGTGTGCGTGGGTTTATCATTTTCTTCACTCCACCTCTCTCTATCTCTGTCACTCGCTTTTTGTCTTTTTATCTCCCTTTTTTCAGTTTATCTTTTTCTCTCTCTATTTATCACTTTCACTCTCTCTCCTTTTCTTTGTTTCTCTCTTTCTCTCTCCTTTTCATCCTCTCCTTTTCTCCCTCTCTCTCCTTCCTTTTCTCCCTTTCTCTCTCGTTTACTCTCACACGCCGATTCTCGTTGGCCGATAAGAAGTTACGTTTTAAGTATTAGCCGTCTTTTCTCTTTATGTTTTTATTTGAATCCACCCTTAACTTTTATGAATATCCATGCTTTAGATTGTGTGTAATATATATATATATATATAGATAGATAGATACAAAAATATAAATGCTCTGTTTATAATAAACAGTATTAATGACATTTACTTAATTATTTGTATCTATAAAAAGAATGTATAAACATAAAAAATGTCTTAAAATAATTGTCGAACTTTGTCCATTTCATAATGTGTGACGTCATTAGTTTACATTTGGATACGCATCGAGCAGATATGAATGTACGAGAGAAAATCATTGAGAAATGTAGTTTAAAAACAGTAAAATCGACCTTGCTAACCGAAACGCTCCTCTGTGGCTAAATTGGTAAAAGCACGTCATATGACGATTCCTTATAGGATACAGGTTCGATTCCTGTCGGAGGACGCATATTTTCTGTGAAAATTTCTCGGAAATTCAGGTCGGTAAATGTCATTAATACTGATTATTATAAACAGAGCATTTACTTAAATATTTGTATCTATAAAAAGAACGCATAAACATAAAAAATGTCTTAATATAATTGTCGGACTTTGTCCATTTCATAATTAATATATATATATAAAGTTTATCAAAGGAGTAGGAAGATTGCGTTGCGTCAATTTTTCAATGGAAGAGTTTGATTGCTCGCTTGTATGCCTGCCTTAACAATCAGTATTCAAAATCATCACCTTTAATCTAGGCTCGAACACCGATCTCTGGCTACAGAAAGAAATAAACATCAAGAAATTTGGCACTATTTTAGACTGTTTCTGTTTCTTTATTCGCTGTATTTTTTGTTGTTCTTGTTTGTTTTCTTTATCATTTTCGTTTTTATACTAATTTTTACGATATTGCCATCTTTTGTATGAAGCGCTAAAATGAATCCAGTATCTTCACCGCACAGAAAGTCCTATCGATTCAACGACGGTTCAGAATAATAGAAATATACAGATATGTTCAGTCGCATACAAATATTGAGTAAGCTATGATTTCCAATCTATTACTCGAAAAGGAATATATTCGCAATGAACAAGAGTTCACAGAATGCATCTGTCCATTCAGCTGAGATAATCCGAACAGAGGATCGTGGGCCAGTAAAGAAAATCCATATTGTTCATATTACGCTCAATCTGACGTTCGCCTTCACTGAGGATTTTCCAGAATGTATGGAAGCCACAAAGGGAAAAGTAATTTTACTATTATTCCTTACGATCTTCCCGTCAGTTTCCAAAAGTGTTTGCGATGAGCAACCATATATATATACTTGGACTTTTAACCTCTCACCTGTTGAAATGATATAAAACTCTTTACCAACATGAGAACAGGAAAAATACACACACGACATTTTATATTTACTTATATGTCGTTGAATTTCTATCGGCGTTTCTCGGAATGGGTACAATTTCTTCTACCTTGATAATCAATGAGTAAGAAAAACATCCAGCGATTGGTCAGGAAACGCATGGAAAAATTGTCATTTAACAAGAAAATCAACTGCAACAATAAAATAATAATAATAACAAAATACAAGGATCTTGAAATGATAATCTCAGAAATGTTACACATGAGGATATCAATAATTCCGGTTGTAGTTGGAGTCTTCGAATTAATTGGAAAAGGTTCCGATAGACTCAGTGAAAGGATTCCTGGTAGTCCATGCTTTAAAGAAATAAAAAAAAGGTACTCTCAGGTACAGTTCACTCATTACGAATAGCTTTATCTATGTAAAATGTATGTGATCTTGGGTCTTTTTTTAATGATCAGTGGAAAATGTCATGAAGACATTTCCGGCCTTAGGTCTCTGGTTGAGACCCGGATGGAAATCGGTATACAACAGAAA